TCATTTGCAGTCTGGACGCTGAGGCTCTGACTGCAGCGCTGAGAGGGACTCCTGCGGGAGAACGGGGTTGGGATGGGGGAGGCGCCCCACGGCAATGACGACGGCGGCGGATGACGCATTAATCGCGCGACACAACTAATCGATGATGAAATTCGTTGCCAATGCTTTTAAAAGTCGATTTTTATCGATTTTATTGATTCGTTGTTGCAGCCCTACATCCGTCCAACCGTCCGTCCATCTATCCATCCATCCATCCATCCATCCACTCAATTTCCCACCTGTCTTTCCTTCCATCTATCCATCTGTCCATCTTTTCCCTCTTAATCCATCAGGATCACGTTGGGGCTGGTACCTAACTCCAGAATTCTATGGGCGAAAGGTGTGGTACACCCTGGACACGTTGGCAGTCCATCCATCGGAGGACAACACAGAGACACACAACCATGCACACACACACATTTAAGGACAATTTAGAGCTGGCAATTAACCTAACAGTTTAAATACTTAACTTTGACTGAAGCCAAAGTACATGAACATGAAACTACATGTGCGAAAAAAAATTGCAAAATAAAAATTAACCTGCTTCACTTTGGAATAATCTATGATCTACCTTAACCAAACCAAGCTTTGCCCATCCCCTGACTGAGCTCTGCTAAACGGGATTAGATTCATCAGCTTCATGGATTTGATGTGTACCAACCCTGTCCTGGTGATTGTTGCTCCATGAGGGAATTCCCTCGATTGCTGTGAACTCAGCGGCCAGATGAGCACTTCTCAGGGCTTCCCCATCGCTCTGGCTGGATACTCCCACACACACACACAGGTCTGAAGCTTCCAATGGAACCTGGCAGTGCTCCAGGATTCCCTCCACTGTTTGATTCTCAGTGAAATCCATAAACTGTTTTCTCTGTGTTGGTTGCATTTCCAGCTCCTTTGAGTCAGATATTACACATGAAGTCTGTCTCAGCTGGTCTTTGCGTTATTTGACTCACCGATTATAAAAAAATTTAACTTTTCATCGACTCAAAAGGTTTAAAACTGATCTCTATCTGTTTCACTCATCTTCATAAAAAACTTGAACAGATGCACTTTAAAAAGTCAAAGCAGACGGTAGTGTTGCCATCTTTATGTCTCACTCTAGGAAGACGGTTCTTTTTATGACCTCAGTGTTGGTTTCAGGCCAAACCTACCCTGTAGGATTGCTGTCTATAACTTCTAATGTGGAATTTATCCCATGAAACACCCCACTTGGTTCTGGTGGGGTTTTAGCCAAACTCTGGAGCTTTCTTTACATGCAGAAAGCACCAAGTCCTCGTTTGACACCCTGCAGCTCCTTCAGACGCTCTGATCACCTGAGGGCAGGGTCCCTATCAGGCTCGGACTGGAACTGAGCCTGACTTGGACTCGGCGGGTCCTCAGACCAGCACCACATCAGCAGGGTTGCCAGATGTCACTGACACGTTTTCCAGCCCAAAGAATGTTCATAAACCTCCTGGATATACAAAATATTACCCAATTTGAACCAAAGTCTATTGATTTAGGCCATTAATTTAAAGAAAAAATTTTTTTTTTTACCCATAGACAGCGATCCTAAACTGTCCGATTGGGAAACATCCCAACCTGGCAACAATCCTTTAGAAGCTAAACCCCATCATGCACCGCAACATATTTTTGCAAAATATTCTAACATAAATTCGCCAAATATAAGAGGAACATCGTAGTTTGGTTTAAAGAAAGCATTTTAGTTTTATTGTAATTTAGTTCGTTGCAAGGATTTTACAGTTTGAAGAAATAGAAAATTACACCATATGCCAACCGTCACAAGGATGTGCATGACAAGGAAGGGCTATATATACTGCATGCATCATTTACTAGTGGTGTAAATCACACCCATCATGGCGATTCGATTCAGTATCGATTTCCTGACCCAATGATTCGATTATTTTCGATACTCAAGAATAAAACCATGATTTGATTAGATTAATTGGTTCATTTTTCTTATTTTTTTTTACACCTTACAGGCTAGACAAAGTTTCAAATTTGAAATAAATCAATTAAAGCTGTAATATTGTTATGCATTTTTTTTAAACAACAGCAAATAACAGAAGTAGAAAAGTTGCATCAGAAAATACTGCAGAAAATCAGTGCAATGAGTGCAATGCAATACCTCGGCTCCAGACGTCCCGCCCCCTAGAGAGACGCTCCGCTGCTCCTCTCCCAGATTGTAGCTGATCGCAGACAGTGCCGCAGACAGGAGGACGGCTTGTTTTGTTTTTATGACCGAAATTCCGGAAAACAACTCGTGAAGTTTGACCTGCTAGAAGAGCGAGGTGCGTGAGAACGCTGGGACCCTTTTTCCACCTTGATCTCCGCTCTTTTTGGCCCTCATGTCCCTCCGTCGTCGGACTAAACTCGACCCCACTTCCTCGCTGTCTCGGCCGTATCTAGACCCACAGCGTGTAGCACAGACCACGCTTCAATATTGGGCATAATTTAAAAATGTCTGCATCAAGCTCACTGCAACACACTGCTGTAAGAGTATAACCAGGAAGTGAGGTAGGAGGGCAAAATAGGTTTAGCGCCACCGCAGCATGGGAGGGAGAATTACGCCCAGGAGCAAATGGATAAAAATAGACCGGAGGGGAAAAAAAAGCATGAATCGATTATCTTGCGGACGTATCGATGCATCGATACAAAACGATTATTATTTACACCCCTATCATTTACATCATTAACATTGCATTACTCTTGAGCTCCTTGAGTTATTTACTCTCACAGGTAGGAGCTTTGGCCGGAGACTAAGTGTTGGGGTCGCTATGATTTAAGGAGGGCGGGCCCTCGCACGCTGAAATTAGGACCGGCCCACCAGGCAAATGCCCGCTATCACAGATTACCAGTCCCAGCCTGGTCCCTATCTACCTTTTATTTTATATAATATCAGGTCAATCTCCTGTTCTTCTAAAATTAAGCAAGTATTTTACATTTATTTATTGATGCTATGTTTTATATTTTGTAAATAATACTTTACTGAAACCTTTTGTACCCTTCCCCAGAGTGATATCGTTAAACATAATCTGTTTTGATCCGTCCCAATCTCTCTGTAATGCACTGCTCCACTATTTCTAGCTTTTAAAGGGCTTTTTTTTTTTTTTTTACTTTGAAACCAAATCTAAAAAAGACCTATTGCTCTGTCAAAAAAAGCACTGTAAACGTCATTTGTAGTTCACTTTGTATAAGTATCTAAAAGTGCTACAAATGAGAGTTAAATGGATAACTGTAAGAAAGCCAAATACAAACTAAATATTTATATATTTGAACACCTAAATTTTGTCCAATGTGTTCTGGTTTTTATGCTTGTTGTTAGATGATTTGCACACGTGAATCCCTTTGCCCCTCTAAAGATCTGCTCTGCTTGTTTGCAAGTATTTTAATGCTCACAAGCCTTCTAAAGAAGAGGTCTACTGTGTTCTCCTCATTTTAATTAGAGCTGTTAGTAATATTACCCAATAAATAGAAGCATTCTACATAATAGAACCGTGGAGGTTCTAAGTTGTTGCACAG